ATGAGTGGTGTAGGTTTTCAAATAGTCCTTGAAGCCTTAGGTGAATACTCATTGGCTATTTGAATTAACAACAATAATAATGACTACTGAAGAGAGGAATTTAAATGAGGTAAAACTAAAATTCAAACAAAAAAAATGGAAGATGGGAAGATGATTGTAATTAAAGAGTTCTAGAGTCATTATTTGGTTCAGAAAAAGTATGGACATATTAACTTGTGACTTTTTAGAGTATGTATTTTTTAATGTAAGTGTAACCGTTACAGAAATAAAATTACAATCTCTAATTTTGAAAGGAGAGGACATCAGAACTACAGTTTTAGATTGGATGTAGGAATAGGTGTGACCATCTGTACATGTAATTAATTTCTATAGAGAAAAGGAAAGATCTAAAGGAAATATGACAAAATGTTAATATGTGCTAATTTAATAAATTTTTTTGTCTATTTATTGTGCTCTGTATTTTTGAAATATTTTACAATTAAATTTTCTTTTACATGAATAAACTTCTGGTGCTTTTAACTGACAGGTTTTGCTTGATTGCATATGCCACAGTCACTGAACCAGCACTAAATAAAGGAGCTGAGCTAGCAAAGCCGAGTTTTACCTGGGTGGGATCTCGTCTCCTGCAGAAACAGAAGTAGGTGATGTGTCCCTTTCCATTTCTGTTAGGAAAGTGCCCCTGTAAGGAATCTGAACTTTGAGCACATGAGTCAGGATCATAATAACAGTCTCACCTGTCCCTCTGTCACATTGACCTCCGTGTTCTAGTTTGTGATTATCCTTCAGATTCTCTTGAAAGAGTAATCTTAGTAGTCTTTCAAAGTCCTTTCCAAGTCTCTGTCAGTCTATAACATTTTCATGGTCCAGTAGGGCAATTTTCATAAATTAATACATAGTGTGTCTGCATGATCACAGTCATGCTTTACAGCTCTTGTAGAGATAGATTACCACTCTGACTCCATCTGGCCCCAGAAGTGTTTGTTTTGATGGGCTATAGGAGTCCTTACAGCACTCTAGTACCTTCCATTTACAAAAAAGTGAGGGCCAGAGAAATCAGTTTTCTTGCCCAAGTTCTTACAACTCATAAATAATAAAACTGAAAACTGAATTTCAGACCCATCACTAGCACCATTCTTTGAGATAATACCTACATTCCTAAGATATTACAGAACAAATACGTTATCCGTGATTATCCTAAAAGTATCATTCACTGATACCATGCATTATAGCCGCCTGATGTAACTCTGGTGGAATGTAATGTAATTACATCTGTCTTAAAGTGTAATGCATCTGGCATTAAAGGCCACACCCCTGGGTGGTATTCACATCCAAGGTAGCCATGTTCCCAGGATCTTCAGGAACAAATACCCTCGCATGACTCCAAGGTGTGAAGAGTTTCAGGCAGATTTGTTTATTGCCATCACCACCTTAACAACAGCTGTACCATTGCTGATATGGTTAGGCACACCCCCTGGGGTGATCAAAACCTCCCAGGCTGTTGGGTTAAAGAACCACCAACTAGGCAGGACTTTGAGAAGACACAAAGGACACCTAGATCAACAGCTCTTCTCAGAACCACACAGGGATCTTGTTAAAATACAGGTTCTGATTAAGTAGGAGTGATGCCTTTGTATGTATACGCCTAATCTGAGTCTCTGACCTATCTATAACTTGCTTGTTATGAGTGCCTCAGGATTACACATTACCCCTTAATATATACCCAAATAATTTGTAAATCAATTTTGTTATAAAATATGATGCTTATATATTACAATGGACATGGTGGCTGCTTCCCCTTCTCTTGGCAACTACTCCCTGCTTCATTTGAGTATTGACACCTCCTGGTAGAGTCTCTGCTTACAGCAAAGGTTCTCCTCCAGGAACTATTTTGCCCCAAGACATTTTGCAAGGTCTGGAGACATTTTCAGTTGTCATAGATGAGACAGAGGTACTTCTGACAACTCACAGACAGAGGCCAGGGATGCCGCTCTACACCCTACAAAGCACAGGACAGCTCCTCACAACAAAAGGTCATCTGCACCAAAATGTCACTGTCACTGAGAGTGAGAAACTCTGGCCTAGACATAAGTTAATCAGCGGCTGGTTCTAGCCCTGGGGCACATGGCGTAAGCCTTGCTTCAAAATCTCAATTCCATCTCCCATCTAGAGTTATGCGTTCAGGGAGAACACATAACCATTAGTGAGCAATGAACCCAAAACAACATTTTCCAAGGAGAGAGAAACTTCCTCACTTTCTTGAGAGGTTGTAAACATAACCTTGGTGGTTCGCCTTCCAGCCAAGATGGAGTAGCCAGGGACCAGTTCTACCCTCTTTTCGGAAATTACTTAAAAACAGGAAAAAAGCATATGAAACAATGATTTTAAGACATTTGACATCAGGTTCACAGGAGAGTAATCCCTGAAAAGGGAGAGAAACTGAAATAAACATAGTACCAGTGAGCTGTGGAGCAACTTCAAACAACCTAATATGTGTTATGGATTAACTGGGGTGGGGTGGGGATAGAAAAAATATTTGAAGAGATAATGGCTAAAATTTTTCCAAGTTTGATTTTAAAAAAAACAAAAACCTCAAGATCCAAAAATCTCAGTCAGCTCCCAAGTATAAGAAAAAAGAAGAAAAGAGAGGAGAGAGGGAAAAAGAATAAATCTATAGCAAAAGTAATTTAAGTCAATGGTGGAAATGTGTAAAACATTTTCCCTTAAGAGTGGTCTGTATGGGTGGAGAAAGACAACTACCATATGATTTCACTTATTTGTGGAGTATGAAAACAAAGCAGAACAAAAGGAACAAAACAGCTGACGCTGAAAAGGGGCTAGTGGTCGCCAAGGGGGAGGGGTTGGGGCAGGTGAGTGGGGGAGGGGGAAGGGGATAAAGGGGCACACTAATCCACAGTCACAATGTAAGCTGATCATAGGGACTGTTGAACCACTGTGATGTATATTCGAAACAAACATAAGATTATATATATAACAATATATTTAAACTATACTTCAAAAAAAAATGGTTCTGTATGAAGTTTTGAAGAACCTGCTTCAAAATGAATTGCTTTTCTTCAGCACCACAATGGCAATTGTTTCATTTCTGTTTTAGCAGAACTCAAAGCTAGCTTGTAAGTGAATAGGTCTCATTGTTCAGCTGATGTATTATTCATCTTGGTCACATGTTCAGGCCAGACCAAGTTCAAAAGGCAGCCAGAAATTCTGTGCCTATTTAGTTATCTGTTTTACCACAGCTACAAATCTGGTGCCCCTTTAATGTATGCGTTCTGGGCTTTGATTCCCATTCCATTTATATTTAGCTATACTCAAAGTCAAGATAGTCTATGTGAAACTCTGGCAAATAATTCTGAGTAAAAATATGGTGACAACTTTATTTTTACTTAATTGTTCCAAGCTCTTATACCCTTCATGTCCAGAATCTCTCCCAACAACACACAGCCTTATTGTCCAAGAACACAAGGAGTTTCCAAGAATCAAATGTTGAAAGAGAGAGAGAGAGAGAGAGAGAGAGAGAGAAGTGGACATTTTCGTCAGTCCACCAGCACATGGCACTCTGGGCGCTGCTCCATCCAATGACTGCCAGCTCCCTGCTCTGGGTGAGAGTTTCGACGTTTCAGCCCTTTCGTCTCACAAGTACAAGTCCACCCCCTGATGTACAGCCATATTTTCTGCAAATGTTTGAAACCATGCCAGAATAAGTACGTGATCTAGAGGGATTCCTGCCTTCAACACATGCTGCCCTAAAACCAGCACTTAACACAAACCCTTAGACCACTGTATTGAGCCTAGGATCCCCTGTCCTCCTGGTGACATCTGCTTTAGGGCCCATGCTGTCCTTTCCTGTCAACAACCTCCAATTCAGCCTAACAGGTTTCCCTAATTCACCTCACAGGGAGCAAGTATCAGGCAATCCCATTCTTTATTGTAGGAAGGCCTGACCTCCTCATGCAACGGGTCTCCCCTTCTCCTGAACTCTGCAAGTCCTAACCAAGGAAGGGGCTCTCTTTATCAAATACAAAAGGTTTCGTTCCCTTTTCTGAGGATATCAGCATTCTAATCTCATCTTTAGTAGTTAAGAGGAAGCCACTCAAGTGATTTCATCCATAAAAAGTGAAACAAATGTGTACATCAAGGTGATTTTCTCTTTCTATAAATATGGAATTTGTTCATATCATATTTTAAAATTCTGTTTCCATCACTTACCCCAATATTCAGAATCTCCATCATACTAAGATAGTTGAAAGAATTCCAAAGGACATCTGTCTATAGGTGGGAGAAATCACTGTTTTTATTTGTTTGAATATACAATGATCATTGTTAGACATCAAGACCTGCTAACAGATCCCAAATCCAAGGAATCCCAGGCTCCAAGTCCTCCTTGTTGCTATCTTACCTATCTTAACATAAATGAGTAAGGGTCCTCTCCTGCCCACGCAGCTCAGTGCATCAACATCCCTTATTCTCACCCTCCCAGCCCAGGGCCCCTCAACCAAAGAACTGTCTCCACATAAGCCACAACAGTGAAGTCCACATGCTCCTATTTTGGACTTCTTTCCTTGTCCTTCCTGGGTGTAACTGAAGAATAAAAACCAGGGAGGAGTTAAAGAACCAGGTCAACACCAGAAATTGAAATTTTCCATTTAGATCTAAAAAATCTCTACCTCACTAGACAAGCCCTTCACAAACTACCAATCAGAAAACTGGCAGCACTTTTAGCATCTAGCCCATCACTTAGCACATAATAGGTGCATATTCAATACTGAATGAATGAATGAATCTATTCATTTCCATCTCTCTCTGACTTCAGCAAATGTCATCATGAATTTTGATAATTTAATATATTATACATCTGTATTTGCACTTTAACAGGAACCTCCCAAAATCTTAAGACAAAAGAAATCATCATTGCTGTGAAATGCCATGGCTACTCTAATAATAGGATTTCTACATGGGTCATTTTGCATTCTGAGGCTGTCATTAATGCGAGCCTCTGCAACAAAAACAACCCTGAAATTTCAGTGACTTAAGACAACTGTTTTATTTCTAGTCCACTTCACATTCTGATGCTGGTTGGGTGGCTCTCCCTGGTGGACTTCTCCGAGGTTTGGCCTCAGAGACTCCAGGCTCCTTCCATCTATGGCTTTGCCTCCTGGAAAGGAGAGGAAGAGAGCAGAAAACCAGAAATGTTAGTGGCTTGGGTCACTTCTACTAGTATTCTGTTGGGGAGAACTAGTCATATGGTCCCCCGCCTAGATGCAGGGGCACTGGGAAATGTGCTCTTCTTGTGTGCTCAGGAATTGAATGCATACTATCACAAAGAGAACCACAGGCCCAAAGATGGAGTCACTCATTCTGACGGCCCTCTGTCAGCAAAGCAAGACTTAATACCCAACCTAACTGCAGTCTCAGCAAACTCTCCCCCCCTCCCCAGTGTAACCTTTCATCAGTCAACAGGGAATTTCTGGTTAGCACTAGCAAATTTACTGATAACTCCTTTTGTTCCCCTGAGGAGAGTGATCTTACCCAGAACAACGTATTCTCTGCTAATAATTTCCTTTTCTCTGCTCTCTCTCTACCTTTTAAAAACCTTTGCCTTTTTTGCAGTTCAATGGAGCATCTCCACTTGCTGGAGGAAATGCTGACCAATTCATGAATCATTTAATAAAGTCAACTAGATCTTCAGACTTACTTGGTTGAGTTTCGTTTTTTAACAATACGGTTTGGTGAATACATTGCACTATCTTTTCCAGACAAAATGAAGGAAAATTTCATGTCAGGGCCTAAGACCTTAACCTTGTAACCTTTACCCTATTCCTTCTATGCACATCTCCTCAGTGTGGATGCATCATGCATATCCTCTTCATCAATAACTTAGAAATAAATTCTTTTGCTATAACCTGGAAAATGATAGTAAGCTGACTGTCCAAGTAGAGTTATTCCATGTAAATAATCTACTTTCAATTTCCAGAGCTGTATTGCTTATGTGATAAACATTGTCTAGAGATTTAGTAAATATTTGCTATTGATGGTGAAAATGATAGCAGTGATTTCTCTGCCTGATCTCTGACCATAACCCTTTCCATCTCAAACTCTACCTGCTCTTTCCAGTTTCCCTTTGCTCAAGTTCCCAGTTCTACTGGGGGAAGTAAAGTCATTTCTATAGCTTCCTCAGTTCAGGTCAACATGAATTTTCTCTGCAAGTCAATAGTTTTGGTGCTAATGCTAACCTTCTGTAGCTATCTGCTCCCCTTTCACTCCTATTCATTATGTATACTTCTCTTCACATTGGATGAGTAATTTCTTTCTTACCTGTCACCCACTACAGATCTGTAGGCCTGAGTACCACTCTGTGTGGCACAATCGACAGCATACATTGAAGCCAGAGTCCCATATCATTAGATCCTCCATGCTAACAGGGTGATCTCCTAATCAGCTGTTGCCACTGACCTCAGCATCTTCAAGCATTTCTGGAAAGGAGAGGATTCTACTGACAAGTTCTTTCCCCACTTCCCAGTTAGCTGCCTGTACACACTGCCTCCCTCTTTCCAAGTCAGGGATCACAGGACCTTGGGGAAACCCAAAGCGGTTATCAGCTGGAGAAACAATGAGTTTGTCAGCATTTGCTGAGAATCTACTGTTTGCTAGACACACAGTTTCTAAGTGTTTTCAGTGGATTATCTCAAAGCATCTTCAGAAGGCCTAAGGAATGTTACCATTTCTTGTTTACAGATGAGAGAACCAGAAAGTTAAGTGACTTACCCTAGGTACATACACACTACAATCTGGCCCACCTCGTAGAGTGGTGTGTGTGCTGCTTCAAAAGGAAAAAAACAGGGAAAGGAAGGTGTCCGTGCCTCTATTTCAGAGGGGGGCGGTTGAGCACGGAGGACGGTGGGCAGACCCCCACGTGCCTTGCTTCCCCTCCCCAGGCCTGCTCTCCTGCTCTCCTGCCCGGACCCAGAGGCAGGGCCTCCCTCCGCCACATCTCCATAGGCTATTCCAACTCTCGGCAGCTTAATGGGTTAACTTAGTTCTGAGCAGAAAAGAGAAGGAATCTGGTTTGGTATTTAATCCAGACAGCATTCTCCCATCCAGTTTTACCATCAGCAGCACTGAAACTATTAACATGCTGACTCTGATTACTTGGTCAGGAACCTCAGAAGATAAGCCACAGGCGGGTTCTTGAACCCTTTTCCTCAGGGACACGGAGTACCTCATTCCGGCCACGTGGGGTGACAGGGAGGGCCCCGACAGGGAGGGGCCCCAGTGCCCCCCACACCCAGCGCCGGCGCCAGGCAGGAAGCTGGGCAGCCTCACCGTCTGCGCCGGGTCCGCCGTCACCCCCACCCCCGTGCCCGAGCATGTGCACACTTGCTCCTTTAACAATGTGTGGTGTCGTTGCCCACTCTCCCCCTCCTTCCTCTCATGAAGGCCGAGCGCCCTTCTGCAGTGCACAGATGCAAAGCACAGTCAGGCTGACCGGACTCATTGTCCATTAAAACCGCCTCACTTTCTTTCCCTTTATCTTTAAGAACTGATTCGCAGGGAGGGTGGATTAACCACTTCCTTTCTATCTCAGTGAAATGCTTCCCTGTCCAGTTCTTAGAACAATTAAGTCAGAATGATGGAGTCTTGCCGTCTTTATACGATGTTTTCCCCTCCTAGTGGCTCACAGTTATAAAAGTCAACAAATCTTTTCAGAAGGGGCCACCTAGTGACAGGAGCCCTGCCGCCCTCATCTTAGGCTGCAATATGCAACTCCCTCCGCATCTACTCCCACCATAACGAGACTAACTGGCAGAGAAGAGGGATAACCTAACGCAGGAGTGATTTACACCACCCATATAGTTTATCTTTGTTTTCAGAGTTTAAAATCACACACATACACACACATGATGTTTACTCTGTGGCCAAACACATAGAGCTGCAACAGGTTTGACAACTTAAGTAGCTGATGTCAGGTTCTATATTGTTCCACGGGTTATGTGTCTCATTGTTGCCAGTTGTTTTGTCCCCTCTGAGGTCACAGGACACTGTGAGTGGACATGGCACTGGGGTGGAGGTGGAGTGGGACAGATGCTCCTCCCTCTAACTGCTGTGTTACTGTGGACATCTCTTAATGCTATAGCAAGATAGTTTATACGGACAAGGAAACCAAGTTGCTGAATATCTAAGATGGGTGTCTGCATCTCCCTACCAGGATCCTATGAGAAGAGATAAGAAAGTAGAAAGGTACTGCATATCAATATCAGGTTTTTGGTGCAGAGGCTACTACTATTGCATGAAAGCATAAAAGCCACATTCTGTGCAAGAATTCCAACTTCTAGATTGTTTTTGAGCTGTAATTTGATCTCTGTCACAAGACAATCATTATCTAGACTATGTATGAGTCATCTACACCAAAGCCAGCTCTAGTGTTTATCTCACTCTGTTGGAGTTACTGACTTGCATTCTTCCAGAAGGGGCTGTGGCTGGCCAATTTTGTATCTGCAGCCCTTCTAGATCTTCTCTTCCCTTTCTACTTTCCCTACCCTGCCATGTGCCTGCAAGATGAGGGGTTCCTTGCCTTGGGCTTCTTCCTTGCCTTGGAGCATTGGCAGGAAATTGAAGGGAGGGAGGAAGCAGCGAACAGAGCCCCTTCCCACCAGGCTTAGGTTGGGCTACGTGCTTCTGCTGAAGGCCAAAATGGCCATCAGGCAGCTCTCCTCTGGCTGTGGCTCTCACTAAATCTCAGGTGATTATCTCTTCCTTTGCCCTTCTGGCCTAGAGGTAAAGCCTCTGCTACTAGCCTCCGGGTGCCTTGGCAGCCTTTGTTAAAAGTTTCCTTTTATCATGACCCTGCATTTAAAAATACTCTCTGTTAAACTGTTCTCTCATCCCTTTTGAAAAAATTCTGTTGCACGTGTTTTATGACTAGGATCCTAACCAATGAGGATGCACATAAATATATATATAATTTTGCATAACTTTTCTTCAACATGATATAACAGGAAAATACATGACTAACCATATTGGGATGAAAACTGACTCAGAGGTGACACTCTTTCCAAGACCATGGCACTTGAAAAGCAGACTTCACCTTGAATCCCAGCTCTGTAATTTGCTAGCTTATATGCAAAATCCTCCACAAATGTTCCACACACATGTACACAATGCTTATACCCAGGATGCTTACTTCTCATCCAAAAGAGCAGCCCTGGTGGTTTGCTCCACACTCTCAGAGAAACCCCTGAGACTCCACAGTCTCTCCTGCATTTTGGTGGCTCCTGCTCTTTACACATACATACACCCTCTCACCCAGACACATACTCATAGACGTACACACATACTTCACACATTCACAGACCCATACCCACGCCTGTACACACAGTCACATACACATACACTTTCCCTCCAAGATAGCTCAGAAAAATGAGATCAAGAGGGATTCCAGCTTCAGCTAAATGCTGTGCTCAAAACCACTCTTGCCTATGCACATGATCTTCCTCAACCTCAGGAGTTGAGAAAGTACAAGTGACACACGTCACCACCAACATTTTCTGCTGCAACATGAATAACACTGAGTTCAGAACAGAAGCCGACCCACAGGCAAACTCCATTCAAATTATTTTAAAATATTCTATGAAAGATGAAATTATTTTCTTTTCCTGAGTTTCTGCCTTGCCCATGAAACTGAAATACAAGTGTTAACCAACAAATTTTCAAGTATTAGAGTAGATTTTTTTTTAACAGAAATGGCACATTTTCCTAATGCTTTGCAACTCACCCTGTTCGGTCCCAAAGAGTCCTATTCTGTCCTTGTTGCCAGGACAAAATGATGCTGTCTCCAAGTCACTACAAATCCAGACAAGGTTCAGGTAAGCACGTGTTCTGAAATTAGTACAACTGCCCTCCAAGTTATCTGAACTTTGCTGAAAGGTGGGGAAGTGCAATCAGTGCCCCAAAGGCAGGTCCTCTATTCTTGATCCTCACTCTCCTGGTCACACATACACACACAAAAAGTATTAGCATTTGCTGGTACTGTATAGTTTAAAGAGCATTAACATATCATGGGGCACCTTGGCATTGGGATGTAACAGTGAGTATTGATTGAAATGGCATCCTGGAACTGTGTCACATGTTGTCCATTCGCCCATTTCCTTCAGTTTGCCATCAGCCTGTGCTCCTGTGTATCTGTACCATATGTGAATCATATGGAACAAATGATAAGTACCATTGTCTTAGGTGGGTTCCCTGGAAGCAAGAGAGAGGGATTCTTGCATAAAAGGTTGGTAGAGAGAGGGTTCTCTTTCACAGGCATGGAGAGAAGGAGGCAGGGAAAAGAAGCTGAGCATGGATGAGGGCTCAGTGCAGTTGGCTGCAGCCAGCTCTACGGAAAGCTCTGAAGCATGAGGGCACCACAGAGTTCTCTTCCTAGAGGCAAGGGAAGGAGGAGCCCTTAGCTTCCATGGCAAGGAGATTCAGAAAGCCAGGGACAAAGCTCTGGATAAGCAGTAGGCTGTGAGCTGCTGGTGGTCAACGCTCCCAGCAGCGGGGATGGTGCAAGGGCTCCAGCCCACAGAGGGGGTCTGGGCAGGTACCAACAGCATCTGTGACACAGAGAATTTGCAAATTTGGGAGCCATGGAATTCACGATCTGCACCCTTGCATGTGTGAAGAAGTGTCTTGAGGTAGTTCTCAAAAAGTGCTCCCAAGTTCACCTGGGAAGTTGGGACTGCAATAAGCAAGAAGAACATTAGTCCAGCTCTTATTTCCTCCTTATTTGTTTTACATATTAGGTTTCCAAATAAGATTATAAATGAACAAAGTGTCACCCAATTTAAAAAAAAAATTTTTTTTTAAGGCTGAAAACCACTGATGCACTGTGGAATAAAAGTGCCCTGGCATCTGGGTCACCATCCATCTTGTTTCCTGAGAACCCCCAAAGGCTGGAGGAGGGTGAACACGGAGTAAGCCTTTCATAAATATCTGCGTAAAAAAGTCAATGAAAATCAATTAACCAGTTTAATCCTCACAACATGCTTAGAAGACAAGGCAGGTGTTTTCTCCTACACTTAAGTAGGAGGGGACTTGACCACACAGTTTGCCCGTGCCCACCTAGGTTTGTATCACTGGTTTAGTAACAGTAAGTACATGTGGGCTCTGATGTGTCCATGACCTTTCTCCCTACCCATGCTAAAAGGTGCCCAGAAATGAACAAGCAGCAAAAATGACTTAGAGAATCTGAGTATTTCATGCATTGGAAGAGTAACAAATCTGAAGTTAGTATCTTGGTATAAAATTAAAATAAAAACCTCTCATCTGATCTGAAGGCACCATGATGGACCAGTGTATGGGGACAGCTGTCACCTATTCTGTCACATTCACTGGGTCTGGGGTACAGGTCCCCTAATTCAATGCTATGATTTCTTCTGCCAGATCCTATTGGTCTGATGGTTTTCCTCTCTTCTCTTACACCCTTTCTTCTGC